AATAATAAGAGATTATCTTTTAAACAAAAAAGAGAAAAAAAAAGAAAAAAAAAATTAGTGGTCATGAAAAACGTAAAAAAGGAAATCATAAAAATCTCCACATTACCATAGCAAGAAGTATGTGCTTCAGGGGAAAAAAAATATATTTATATATATACAAAGTGATTAAAAATGGAGTGATAATTCTATTCCAGTACGAAAAACAAAGGACTACAGGAATATGTGGTGATAGTCTGTTTCTTCTTTTTTTTTCCCCTCATGTACCTTTTTTTTTCTCTTATTATCATGTGTCAGTAGTAAATCGGAGGTAATTCAGGGAAACCTCTTTTTTTTATTATTTTCGTTCTCTCTCTATCTCTATCTCTTTCTTTCTTTTTGTGCTCTCACTTCATATCCCTTTCTGTTCAGATGTTGTGTGACGGGGGAAGAAGTGAAAGGGATCGGCATTATTAAGCCGTTTCTGAAATTGTGTGTGTGTGTGTGTTTTTTTTTTTTTTGGCGTGTGTGTACTTTTGTGTGTTTTTTTCTGTTTACTCCGTACTTATGGTCCTTGCGCTCTTGGCCGTCTCATGTATGTTTGTAGTCACAGCGAGTATTATTAAAAAAAAAAAAGAAAAGAGTCACGTGAGAATAGGCAGGAGCATATCAATAGAAGAAAGAAGAATATAACAGAAAAAGAAAAAAAAAAAGAGGAGTGCCGTCTCTTCATTTTTATTTGAAAAAAAAAAGAGAACGAATGTAGGGGAACAAAGAGAAAAAAAAAAAAAGATTGTTCTGGTCTGTTGTCAAAGGTGAGAGAGGAGAGTGTGGAGAATAAGGAAAGCGAGAAATATGATATTTGTTGTGTTGTGTTCAGTGATACTTTCCCTTGCTTTGCCCGACTAGCGTCACGTGATGGCAACTTTACGTTGTATTTATGTAGACGCATATGAGTAAGTACACCATCACGCACACACATGAACATAACGCATACAGATATATATATATATATATTGTCATTGAAGGAATATTTCTTTCTTTCATTTTGTTGCAGTTCTCTGGTATTGGCGTTCAATTCTTCTTGTTTGTGTTGTTTAATCTATTGTTATCTTTTACTTTATGGCGAAGAAGTGAGAAGGGTCTAAAGACCATAATGTATACACCTTTTCTTTTCTATTCTCTCTTTCTTTGTTTATTATATATATATATATATGATTAGGTGAAGGGAAGAAGGTAGCGTTGGTAATGTTGGGGCTTTTCTCCCGCTCTCTGTTGGCATTGCGGGCGAAGAGCGCAGCCGCACGAGATAAGCGTCTTAAGGATCGTATTTCTGCACAATTAGAATTGGAGGCACAAGTGAAAGCACGTGTGGCATGTTATCCACACCGCACATTAACACGTCCTGTCCTCCAACTGCATAAAAATCAAGTAAACACCCCATTGTTTCAATCACAATTGCTTAGTCTAAACAAAATGGCTCTTGACCTTCACTGTATATCCTTCAGTGCCCCTAAAGGACATTGGGATGCTGCTGTAGTGCTTATTAAAAATCACCCAGACGAGAAAAACTTTGAAGTGTGGGTGAATCCAACAGTTCCTGGTTATGATGATCGCAACTCTATCGCTCCCATGTATGGAATGTGGGAGAATTGTATTTCGTGTGGTGCCTGTAATGCGTGGGTGCTGCGGCCGCAGTCTATCACGTGTTGTGGATGGGATGAATATGGGAATGAAAAGACGGAAGTATTAGATGGGATGCGGGCACGGTGCCTTATGCATGAATTAGATCACTTGTACGGGAAAACAATTATGCATCAGGCGTTGGGACCAGAGTTTATTGTAAGTGGTATTGCGATGGGGCAGAGAGATTTATGGCCACCTAACTTTCCTTCAGCAGAGGCATACATTACAGCACCTCATCAATTTTTTGATTACGTTAAAAATATGCCAATAGTTCCTCCTGGAATGGAGTGGTGGTATGCACAGAATATGCAGCAACACTTTGATGATGCTCGATTAAACAACTGAAAACATCTCTGTCTGTCTGTCTGTCTGTCTCTCTTTCCTCAAGTTGTTATGTTTGTCCTACAAGAACAAGAAAAATAAAGAAAGGGTTGATCCTACTGCCGTCTCTCTCTCTCTCTCTCTCTCTCTCTCTCTCTGTGTTGGGGAATACATATGTACATATATCTGCGCATGTCCCCTTTTATTCTTTTTCTTTTTTCTTTCTTTCTTTATTACCTAGACTTGGCCTACGTGTGGGTGGTGGAAGGTCTCTCCTCGCCTGGCCTATTCTTCACATGGCGAGACTAATGGATAACACCATCGCGAGTTATAGTACGATTGGCGTGGCTACAACATTAGGGTGGGAGAATGATGAGTGTGCGAGAACGTACATGCAACAGCTCCAGATTCGGGGACATGCTATTCTTTCCGCACATCGTTGGAAAATTAAGCATTTAAAAGAATTTTATCCTCGTAGTGCACGATTACTTGGACTTAATGTAAACAAAGGAGATGAGGTATGTGTTCGATTTCGTGCGCCAGGATCGAAACAAACTTTTCTTCCTTTCCATGAAGTATTGTGCACCTTAATACATGAGATTGCACACTGTAAATACTCTAGACATGACAAATACTTTTGGCAATTGTACGCCGAATTGGCTGTGGAGTGTGAGCGATTGGAGTTTAGCATGACCTCAAGGATAATGACAGAACCCACAAATCGGCATCCGCGTTTTATTGAACGTAATAGACTGGGAGAATTGCTACCCACTACATCTTCTATTCGCAGTAATCCTGTATTGATGAGACACGTACTTGTAGATGAAGCACAAAGGCGTCTTGAAATGAATCAACGAGGAGAGCGGGATGGATGTACGCGTGATCACGCACCCATTAACACTAATACTAACAATAGTAATGTGTTAGATGAGAAAAATTGGATTTGTCAACGGTGTGGTAATTCAAATACTTTTGGAATTACCGTGTGTGATTTTTGTTCTGATATATTGGGTCTAGGTGAAAATGAAGAAGGTTGGGATTGTAGACGATGTGCATTTCATAATTATTGTAATTTGCAATATTGTGAAGCTTGTAATTGTACTCGACGAGTACCCCCGCAATCTTCAGTGTTTCGGGTTCACAAAATTGGGGTATTAACAGAATTTGTAGACAATTTCTCTGCTTGTGCTTTACTGGGACGTTTGGCGGATGCACTCGATCCCTTACTGCACGAACGTCAATGGCAAGTGGAATGTCTCTCAGAGTTTTACCCGCCAACAATGAATGTAATGTCGCAAAGTGAAGTAAAAAATACTTCAGGAAGTCTTGTAGTGAAAGTTCGTCTACGATCACCGAATATATCTTCAGAGATGTTGCCAACAGCGTATGTGTATAGTGCTGTGATGCATCAGTTAGCTCATATGATGGAACGTAATCATGGTGTATTATTCTTTAGAGCCTGGCTTTCATTGCTGCAGCACGGTCTTTTAAGTGAGGAAGCACAAGTTGTATTATCAATGGGAAGTGACGTTAGGTCAAGTTTAAGTTGTTTTACTCAACAGTTGCGTATTTTTTCTGAAAATAACGGAGGTGATGCGGGTAGTCTCTCACAAACGCGTCCTTTTGTGTACAATCTTCTTTGTGCAGATTGTGGGACCGCCGTAAAACGTGAGAGATCTCTCACAACTGCTGAAGTGATAGTGGGAACGCCGTTGAACTCTAAGAAATCACTTAGACGATGGATGTGTACACGGTGTAGTTTTCTTAATCAAATTGGTGGGTTTCTCTTTTGTGAGATGTGTGGTGCGTCCCGTTCACTGTGCACACCAACCAATGGTGACAAGTTAAGTGGATCTCAGGAAGAGCCTGTCATAATTGTGGACGATGAAGTGGAGGAGTTACGGTCAGTTAACAGCGATGACGTGGTGGTAGTGCTTTAACGTATTGTTGTAATTGTTTTTTTTTTTTTTTTCTTTTTGTAAAGATGAAAAATGTGCTTTTTAGTGTGAAGGAAAAAAAAAAAAGAGAGATATAAATGAGTTTTTAACTCACACTCATACGCCTTTGGACTTTTCTTCTTTGTTATTTATTCATGCTCTTATCAATAATGATATATAACTATAATACTGCCTAGTATTTGTTTTCTTTCTTTTTCTCTTTATTTCTCTCTTTTAACCACCAGCACACGCACACAGATAAGCAGAATGGAGATGGATGCTGCGTTTGCCAATCTATTTGGCACGCAGGGTGAAGCCGCTGTTCTTGCCTGTGATGAACTCGGCCTCGTCCCACGCGATGTGATGCACCGGCCGAAAAAATCATTCGAAGGTCAAAACGACAGTACGGCGGCGGTGCTCGTGCGGTACACATTAACTGAACGCGCACGCCAAAACAACATTCGGAAGATTTTAGCTGTAAAGAATCGTCTCATTGTGGAAGGCGGCGTACATGAAAAATGGAAGGCGCGTTGTAAACAATTCCCTGATGCCCCGGGGGTGCCAAAAGTACCAAAGGCATTACTGGAAAAGGCATTAGCGGAACTCGACACCGAGAGCAGTGATGATGATGGTATTGATGAACGTGGCTTAAAAAGACCACAGCCGCAGTATGGTGTAGATGGAAAGAATGATGGGATTGCCGATGGGAATGAATTAACTGTTGGTCCAACAGGAGGACCCTCCGTAGCCCGTGAGTTATCCGTCGACTCCACACCGAGGCCAAGTGTGGCCTCCACCACAGCTCCACACCCACTAACACCTGCACGTCCACCAGGAGTAATCATAGCAACCAGAACAGAAGCAGCAACATCAGCATCAAAGCAGCGTAAAAGACGACATCAACACAAACGATATGTAAAAAAATATTTACAAAATCATTCTATTAATAGTGCTTCTCCAGCTGCAGATGGTAGTTCGGATCTCAATGTCTCCTCTGACGAGGATGTTGAAGTAGTACCGCGGTATCCTAAACCACCTCCGGATCCACCTTATTTACCTCCAGTACCATATCCTCAACGAAGTACTGCCACATTGAAAAAGGAATTAGAAGAATTAGACGAGTATCGTCTTTTTCTATTACGGTATGCGCATGATAGTGCAGCCATGGCGGAAGAATACAATAACTTCACTACTATGCTAAAACAAGAACAGAAGGAAAGGGAAGAGAGGGATGAAGTAGAACCATCTGTGACGATTCCTTTTAATAAGTTGAATGATCGACCAGAGAGTGAAAATAATCCAAGTCCTGATATAGAGAAAAATAGTGATAAACCCCAAAAAACACCCCGTGAAAAGGTGGTTCTTCCAATGACACCGCATGAACGTCAACTTGCTGCTTATGTTCGCCTTGCAAAGTTAGAAGTTCGTCGCAATCGTACTAATTTTAAAAAATGGAATGGATTTTTAGAAGAAATGGAAGGTATTGAGCCTACGGGAACTATTGCAGCAGATTTGCGGGCCCGTTGTAACATTAACGTTTTTCCTACCTTTGAGGAATATGTACAATCTGTAAGAGATCGGGCTCATAGGCGGGAAAGAAGATTATACCAAGAACAAAAAGCGCAGAAGAAACTTGGTGCTTTCTGTGAAGCAAAAGACCGACGCACCGAAAAGAATATGGAGAAGTTAAAGAATGAGCACAATGACCTTTACGTGGAAGCGCGCCTCGTTCAGCGGGAAATCATGAAAAAAAATCAAGAACATGAGAATCGCCGCCAAGATATGAGACAGCAGCGCTATCGAATGCAGTTAGCAAAAAAAGAAAAGCATGCAGAGGAGTACCACAAAAACCTCATTCTTAGTGCTAAAAACAAACGTTTTGAGCACGATCATGAAGAAATGCTCAGACAATCCCTAAAGAACAGAGTTCAGGAAATGGATATGAGGAAAAAGTGGGATCTGAAGTCTGTTACCTATTAGCACGAACATTTCTTCTATTGGAATATGTAAAATAAATAACTACGAAACAACAACAACAACAAAAAAAAAAAAAAAAAGAAATAAAAAAAAAAGGAGTGAGGTAGAAAAGAAAGAGATATCTTGCGTCTAACATCTAGTTCTGTTATTTGAAGATCTTTCTTTTTTTCCTTCAGTTGAGTCTCTCCCCTATATTTGGTTTTGAGTATCTGCATATGTGTGTGTGTGTGTATCGTTTTTTTTTTTTTCTTCGTGTGGATGTGTGTGTTCCTCTTGTTTGTCTTGCAAGAGTATGTGAATGGACATATGTACTACTATTTGTGATTCAGTACACTTTGGAAATGTTGTGATAGTCTGTGTGTTTTCCTTGTTTTTTTTTTTTATTGTTGTTGTTGTTAATTATGCTTTCCCTTATATGGAAATCTCGTTCTTGACTTTCATTTCCTTATTATTCTTCTCACATTGTGAAGAAATATAAACATTTTTTTTTTTTTGGTTTTTTATTATTATTTATTCTATTTTTTCTTTTTTATTTCTTTTTTTTTTTGCTGCAGTTGTTAGTCTGAGGTATGTGTTGGAGCTCCGAAGACCAGTTCAAATACAACGAGCCTATTGAAGAGCCTAATGGTCTCATTCATGGGGTTACCACACCGTCAGACCCTCGATCGGAAACACAGAGTCAACGCGTGAATATTCGTGACCCACACACATCTTCGTTTTTTAGTTATCGAAGATTATTATCTATACGTTCTCAGTCATCAGGATCACCATCAAATATCACCAACTGTGATCAACGAAGGCTTCCTAGTAATCCAGATTCTACTATTGGTAGTGGAACTTCAAAAAGTATTATTATTCCCTCCTTCCGTATATGTAAGGAAGATAATTTAACTTTAAATGTATCAGATCGTATGACCTTTGTATTATCTAGAGTGCAGTCACCTCCACGTGAAGTAAGTTTTACGGTATCGCTACATGTGTATGATCTTTCAAATGGAGTTTTTGATTCTAGTAGTGAAAAATTAGTGGGTGTTCATATCTCTGGTATTTATCACAGTAGTGTGGTATGTTATGGTATGGAATTCTTTTTTGAAGGTGGAATAGCAAGTTCTGCATCTGGTCGAACTCGTTTTGGAAAAAAGTATAAAACAATAGAACTTGGAAAAACGACCAAGACACTTGCTGAGTTTATGTCATGGATTCATCGCAGAGAAAAAGAGTCTTATAGACTTACAGACTATCACGTGACAAAACATAATTGTCATAGTTTTACAACAGATGCTGTTAATTTTCTTATTGGTTCTTCAAAAGTTATTCCTTCTTATCTTACTTCTACCGTGGAAGATATTATAAATACGAGGGTTGGTGGCGCTTTAGAAGGCGTTGTACTTCGATTTATTAAAGGAGTACAATATGTGATTTCCAAACTGGAGTTAACACGAATGACAGAACGTAAAGAGAGTTCAATGCGTATTGCGATGTCGGCTGCATCTTGTGGTTTAAATGCTCGACCGCCTCAATGTGTGGTTATATTCCGTGTGGATGATGCGAGGAAAGGTCGTCGTGCTCTTGAGGTAGTTATGCCATATGTGATTGAGTTAGTAGAGCGGGAAATTCTTTCACGAAAGTCTATAATGGCATTAAAATTAGCATTTGCTTTAGGTGAAGGAATTGAATCTATTGATCCAAAAGTCATTTCAGATTTTGTGGAAATCATAGTTACTATTCTTTTACATAATCATTGTACTTTATGGGGTCCTGTTCTTAATGCTTTACGTATTGCGGTACTTCATAAAGGCGTGTTAATCGCATGTGTCTATCATCCATTATTTTTGGGTATATTGGCAAATGGGGCTAAAGACTTTTTGAATATGATGATAGATGGTAAACTTGGGCTTCTTAGAGTTTTATGCAACATGGCATCTGATGTACATGGAGCTGTGGCCCTAAACTCCAATCGATTCATGAGTTATTGGGTTAGTGCCGTTGGTTTAGCCATCATGGATTATAGAAATACGGCGATTACATATACTGGAGCCGCACTTGCAGTGAATCTCACACATGCTGCTGTGCTCACCACACATCCCATGTTGTCCAAGTATTATGTAGGATCTTTTCTTGGACACCCTGCGAATGAATTATTGACGATACTCTTTTTCTATCTACGAGAGTGGCCCAGTGAACGAATACCGGAGCCTGTGTTTAATATGATGTTGCTTGCTATTTTTTTTCTTGTTTCCAGCAGTGAACAGGCGTTACGCGCTGCAATGAAGCATCCACTTGGGTTAAACTATATAGATTTACTTAAAAGGGCAAGAACGAATGAAAGCATCGCAATTATTTGTATTTTACATGGTCTCAAACTGCAGTGACGTGTGGAGGAGTTCGTCTTTGTATATGTGCGTGTTCTTGATGTTGCTTATATATATATATATCTTTTTTTTTTTTTTTTTTACCTTTTAGTTAAATAAGATTAAACAGAAAAATATATTTTGGAGAGTAAGTTATTTATATGGTGTTATACAGTGGTTCCTTGGTTATGATGTTTTTTTTTTTTTTTTCATTCCTATTATTATTATTAATAATTAATTTTCCTAATTATTGCATCTGTTTCTCTTGTTCTTTTTTTATTTTGTTGTTGTTTATTTATTGCTTCCTTACTTTGATGTATTTCTACATGATGTGTAGTAGTTTTTTTGGGGTGGGGTCCATTAAAGGAAAAGGGCCAAGCAAAGATAAAATATAAACATAGATTTATATATATATATTTCTTTGTAGTGAACAGAACCGTTATAGCAGCAATAAAAAGAAGAAGAAGAGAACAATAACAACAACAACAGCACTAATAAAAGAAAAGAAAAATAGACCCTTTCCTCTATGTCCATGATGCACGCGGCGGTAGCACCGAGCTTCCCCGCCTCAGGTGTGACTCACTCTATTGTTGGGAAGTTCTCCACTTCACTTGCTGAGGATGTAAAGGAGGTGGTGGTAGTAAAGATGAATATACTGGAGCTCTGGCGAGTTCCACACACTGTGGGAAATGGTGATTCGCATATGTCCTTTGTTACTAGTATAGAATTAAATGCTCCACCCGTCGCTGTGATTGTCTGTCGTCCGCCGGGGTTTACAGTTGATATTATTGCGATGTGTTTTGACGATTTCCATGTTTCCTTTGTGCAGTATGATCCATTATTAATGCATCTTCACACATTGGCACTTGTCCAGTTAGATGATCGGGAATTGGAAGATGATGTGAAGCCGTTAGATCCATTAATGCGTGTGGATCCAACAGGACGTTTTATTACTGTATTGGCACGGCGTCGTCATATGTTTTTAATTCCACTTTTGGGTCTACAACGAGCTGAAGAAGATGGGGAGGAGAATATTAATAATAATAATAATAATAATAATAATAATAATAATAATAATAATAATAATAATAATATAAAGGAAACCGTGGCACCTGTAGACGATTGGGGTGATGAGGATGACTATAAGGAATTATCTGAAAATGGTAATAGTGATATACCACGTACAGATACAAAAGCAGAAACCAATGTTTTGGGTGAATCAAATACTTCCAAATCTTTTCCAGCATTAAATGGATTGTTACTGCGCATTGGTGTAATTTCTATGTTTACTCTCGCAACAGCTGTTAAGAGTCGTATTCACTATGTGCGGGATATTCATTTCATTGAGTCTAATGGTGAGCCTATTATTGCTGTTTTGTGTGAACGGCAACCAACATGGGCTGGTCGTGTAAAATTGGTAGAGTGGCGAACAAAGATGGTGGAATCTAATACTTTATCCTTACAAGTAGTATGGGTACAAATATCTGCTGCTTCTACAAATGCTCCCAAGTTATTATTGATAGGTGAGGTGGATGATATTCCGTGTAATGTGACTCACATGACACCTGTGAGCTCTTTTGCACAAATCCCATCTGGTGTGGTTTGTTATGGAATTAACACCATTATGCACATTACAACAAAACGTGGTTATGGAGCTTATCTTAACAATAATGGAATGGAGGAATGTGTAAATGCAAAGTCATCTGCGGTAATGTTTGGAAAGGTCATGTGGTGTGATAATCAACTTGAATCATCAAATGCACTTTTTAAAGTAAATCTCTCACTTGCCAACTGTGCAGCCGCTTCTATGAATGCAGATAGTGAAGGACTTCATGTTCTTGCCGTTTCAGAAGAGGATGGTGTGGTACTCACTTTACTTTTTGCAGCCCAAGGTTCAACAGTTCAGAGTGTAAAAATTGATATTATTGGTGTTGGTTGTTACAGTTCTACTGTTTCTTTTATTAATCCTCACATTGCCTTTTTGGGTTCAGCTCGTGGTGATTCCTGTGTTGCTGTGATTAACACATTTCAGAGTAACACGGAAAGTCGATTCCAAGTTGTCGATAATATGGAGGCTATTGGTTGTATTATGGATATGGATGCCGTGGATTGTACCCCAGAGAGTGAATGTAATAATCACAACACTAATGGAAGAGATGCCTCTTGGTTTATTAATATGCCTTATGCAGAACTTTTACAAAATACAACATTGGAACCCATGCCACCTATTTCTATTGAAGAGGCTCGTATGAAAATGGATTTGGCGGTTTGTGCTGGTTATGGTGCCTCTGGTTCTCTTTATTTAATGCGTCAATCTATTCGCCATAATATTGTGCGTCGTGAAAATGTTAATGCCGTCTCTGCCTTCTTTTTACCATCATTACAAACTGCAAAAAGACCTCGTGAACATGAAGAAGATGAACACATGACTCGTACCACTTCATCTTATGCCCCATCGCATTTATTACTAACGGGTCTTCCCTTTACAATTCTCTTCACAGTGCGTGGGAACTCTGTTCAACATGTGAGACGTTCAGAGTTCTTGGCATCATGCCGAACAGTGTTTGCCGCTGATCTCGTATGGTTAAATGCCTTATTACAAGTGACAGAAAGAGAAGGACGGATTATATCTCCAGATGGAAGAGTTTTATTTCAGAAATTTTTCTTTGTTCCTGAACGAGAAGCCGATAAACAACGTTATGCGAAGGCGGCATGTGTTGAAGTAGAGTTACAATTATTATTTGTACTTTTAGAGGATGGAACATTACTTCAGTTTTCACTAAAAGCAACAAATGCATCACCTAAAAAGGAAATATTTGCAGAGAAAGTAACCGCATTTACTTTATGGCGAGAAGAGAAACGTGTGGTCACATTTGATACAGAAGGGAAAATGACGATAACAGATATGGAGTCACGTACTTCTTATGCACTATTTCCACAATTAGGAATTTTACCTCCCTCTTGTGTATTTGATGCTTCTTCTACTACTGATACTTCTGGAGATTCATCAAAAGAAAAGGAAAAAGAAAACACTGAACCTATTATTCCTGTCACACATGTGGAGTTAGTGACATTACAGGATGATGCGTCTTCAACATCTGATAATAATTCTACTGCCTATACGAGAGAAAAGGAAGTAATATCACTTCTTATTATTCTTGCTAGTGGTGAACTTGCAGTTTATCAAATGTTCTCACCTGATGATTTTGGACCGCTCCGTTTAATTAAATATATTCATCATTTTCTTGATAATAAAGCAGAACGTGAAGTTATCGAATCTATTGAAATGAAAAAACAACGTTTAATGCGAGAACGAGCCATTATTGAAAATTGTACTCAATCCATGCGTCACTGTAGTCGTCGTATTGTTCCTTTTAATGCTCTTGCTGGGAATAATGGGGTATACGTTTGTGGACAACATCCACTATTTCTTTTCTGGAATCGTCGAATGCGACGACTTGTTCCTTATCGTCATCAGGCACCTGTACCTGTACAAGGATTTGTTCCTTTCCCTTCTATAGAAAGTGGTTTTATTTTCTGTTGTGAAGGTTTTGTTGATTTCGCTTCTATGAAAACAGAGTATCAACCTAATAAAAATGGATGGTTAACACGTCGTATTCATCTTGGTGCTACTCCTCATTTTATTGTATATCATCCACCTGCTCACTGCTGTTTTGTTGTAACATCACGGAAAGAACCTTTTAGACCACAAAAGGCTCCTTTTGATGTACATCTTAAGATAAACTATGATGAGGAATATGGAAATATTCAAAGTGTTACAACGGAGGCACCTGTATGCAATTTACCACCTATTTCTCCAGATGCTGGCGTTCGTGTACCTATGGCAGATCGATTTGAAATTCGTTTTATGTCTACTAGTAACTGGATATGCAATGATACACTTCTTTTAGAAGAAAATGAACAAGTATTGGGTGCTCAAATGATGGAAATTCTCACTGAAAAAGGAAGTGAAGGTCCTGCCACAGCTCCTGTTTGTGTTGTAAGCACAGCTTTTCCTTTAGGAGAGGATGTGACCTGCCGAGGTCGAATTCTTTTATTATCATCAAAGTGGGGAAAGACAGGAAGAAAGATTCTCCTTCTTCATTCTGAACCTCTTAATGGTCCTGCTACAACCGTAACTGGAATTTGTAATCATATAGCTGTTGCTGTTGGTGGTACGATTAAACTTTTTCACTATGATTGGGAAACTAGAAAATTAGTGGTAAGTGCTTTACTTTATGCTGGTATTTATGTAACAAGAATGTCAGCATTCCGTAATTATCTTATTTACGGTGATCTTTATCGTTCTTGTGCTTTAGCCAGATTTAATGAAGAAAATCATACACTTAATGTCCTTGGTAGGGATCAAAATACGGTTTCTGTTGTTCACTGTGATATGATGTACCATGATCGTGCTGTGGGAATCTTGTGTTCCGATGATCAGCGAAATGTACTGGTAATGGGATATACACCTCGTCTACAGGAGAGTGAGGCGGGTAAACCAAAGAAAGTTCTTGAGTCTGTACTATCGCTTGATGGTGGTTATCGTCTTCCTAGTGGGTGTTTGGCAAAGAGTCTGCGATTTCGTTCCCTCGCTGGAAACTCTAGTGTGACTCTCTACGCCACAAACTATGGTGAAATTGGTTTCATTGTACCCGTTGGTGAACAGGCGAGTCGAACAGCATTGTGGGTTACGCGTCGTCTGCAAACCGATTTACCACATGAGGCGGGGTTAACGCCTCGTATGTTTCTTGGATTAAGTCAGGGATCACCGCGAAGCGCACTTCGCTCGAAAGAGATGTTGGTATCCGCTTCATTACTGGAACAGTTCTTCTTTTTGGATGTACGTTCACGGAAGGCCGTTGCAACGGCAGCCTATACACAGCTTGAGCGCGTTACAAATGTCGCTGCTCTCGTGTATGAAGAGTGTAATTTGTTTTAGTTGTGCATTGCGGTTCAATGATAACATATATATATATATATATATATATATAAAGGGAAGAGAAAGACCTCCTTTTTGGATGATGAAACTGGGGTCTCAAAAAGAAAGAAAAGAAAGAAATAGAAAAAAAAAAAAACAACAACCAAGAAGTAAAACCTTTTAGGCGATATGCCAAATTTAAAGGACTGTTTGGATTATTATTATTATTGTTATTATTACTGTTATGTGGTGGCAAATAATAATAATATTTTTTCTTTTGGAGTATTCTCTATATATGTTTTTTTTTTTGTTTCTTTTTTCCTTTCATTATTATTTTCTTTTTTTTTTACTAGTGCAGAGAGATATCTCCCTCTAGTTCACAGTGGTAATACTCCCCGTTGCGAAGGAGTATTTTTTAGGTGATGCGCTGCTCCAAGCGTTTGTTGTGTACCTCCATTAGTAGTTCTGCATCTGTGTTCAGATCACACATTCATCAATCACCATGTGTTATTTGTGATGGTGCTGTTGCTGAAATAACAGCGGGTTCTGTTAACCAGATTCAAGAAAAGAGTCAATCACTTCCCAAGATAAACTCTGGTGTTATTCCACCTTCCCACTCACGGCATGGAGTTGATCGTTCTATAGTTAAAAAATCATACGATAGATCAGGGACAATAAGTGAGCAACGAAAACAGGCTCTTCAGGAGTGGATGGAAAATAAATGGGAAAACTCTCTGGCTGAAGAGAAAATGGATGATAACGCATTACTGGAAAAATCATGGAAGATATTCTGTGATCCCACACAAAAAGTATCAGATGATGATATAATAGCTGTGGTGGAGTATCTTGACAGATGCTGTGAAGTAAAGTTTAAAGAGACTTCAACTGAAGAGTTGTGCTCATCATCACAAAAAGAGGTCCAAGAAGATTTATTGGGGTTATCCACTAATAATATGAAAAATATTAATAATAAAACGGAGGATAATGCATTTTTGTCGCGTATTAAAACGTGTTTAACTAATCCAGCAGAAATTGAACATCAGTTGCGATTTCAACGCACACTTCTTGATTTTCGAAGTGTTGCAAATGATATTCAATTACCTTTTTTCTTGGCTTGTGGAACGGCGTTGGGTGCCCACCGTGAGGGATTTTTTATTCCTCATGATAACGACATTGATATTGGTATTTTTTATGAGGAACTAAAGCGAATGAAATCTACAAAAGAGGAAGGAGACATACAATCTGCTGTTGTGGAACTTTTATCACATGTAGCTATAGATGGTCGCTTTATTCTTTTTGATATTTGTGGAGAAGTAGAAAAGGGATTGGAATTACGTTTTCTCCATCACGAAACCCGTATTGCCCTTGATGTGAATATCTACTACCCACCACTGTTGGATGATGATGATGATGCGGCATTCGTAGCGAAGCGAGGTCCCTTTGTATGGGCAGCCACACACTATGAAGATGCGGCTGTCCGGCTCCACGGTATGTATAGATATCATCACACACCGTTTCAGTCAGATTTAAAATGTATGCCGTTCTGTGATAATAATGATGGAAGTTTGAGTGGGAATGGTTTCTTTGTGCCACCAGAGTCGTATTTGGTGGAGTGTTATGGGGATGATTGGCGGACGCCCCGAAAGTACACATATGCGGAGGCTATTCAAAAGGGAGAGTACAAGAATTTAATTGAGGAATGAGAGTATCATTTATACAGGAGGAAGGAAAAAAAAAAAAAACAAGAGTGGGATATACAGTTTGTGTTTGTATTTCCCCTCTCTTTCTTTTTCTTTCTTTCATCTCTCTCTCTCTCTCTCTCTCTCTTTTCTGTAATATATTGTTTGTGTCTGTGTATGTGTGTTTGATTCTATTGTTATGGATAAATAAGTCTCGCTCAAGTTGGATTCTTTTTTAATTTTTGATTTCCCTTTGATTGTTTTTTTTATTATTTTTTTTAAAAAAGAATACTAAAGCTATTTTACATAAAAAAGAAATAAAAATAAAAAGAAAGCAAGCACAACACACCACAGACTAGAGAAGAAATAAAAGAAAACAAGAAGAAACATTACGCGACGACAATGTCAAATTTTAATCCTGATGCTCCTGTCTTTATACCGACATTTCTCCGTCAATCTGTCCCTAATGGAGAGTTAAATGGTGTGAAAAAGACATTTGCACCATCCCGCGAAAAACCGGTTGTGTTTCTTATGTTTGGAAGTCGCGGTGCTGGGAAAACAACACAGAGTTCTCTTCTCACTAAGGAATATGGTCTGTTAGCCATTTCCTCTGGTTCCATTTTCAGAGAAGGGAAACAACCTTTTGTGGAGTTGCGACGAATATTAGAAGAAGAATTTGGTGAAGGTAAAGTAAGACGATATAATGGTGTAGTTTTAGACCGTTTTATTGTGAACAGCGAGTTTGATGCGTTCTATGTGCAATCTATTCTAAACTCCGTAAATTTACCTGTTCCTTTTGTTTTTATGCTCTCTATAGACCCAGAGCTGGCTTCTAAACGTGCAGAGGCCCGTGGTGATAATAAAGTTGGACATCAACATTGGCGTGCGGTTGAACAGAAATCGCAAGCTGTAACTGCAGCTGCAGTTTATGTCCCTGTTGGATGTTATAAAAGTATTCAAGTTACAGAAGATAATTCAATTGATGATGTGTTTAAAGAGATTAAATCTACAATAGAAACACAATTAGCTGAACTACCTGCAAATGTTACTATTCCTGTTTCAGCACGTCGTGAAGAAAAAGGAATGAAATTGATTGATGAATATGAAAAATATATGGAAATTGTATCAGATGTTCACGCAGCAGTAGGAAATTTAAATGGAAGAAAAGATACTGCACCAATATCTAGTATAGGTGCTTATCTTGATAGGGAATACTTTTCATTTGCTCATAAAAAGTTAAGATCATTACTATCAACTTTTCATGTAACCTTGAAAGCTGATGGTGTCCGTTTTTTGGTTGTTAAGCATAAGAAATACGGTTACATTGGATTTCCTTCTGCTTTTACACATTGCTATGATCTTAATGAAATGTTTCAAGGTGTAAATATGAGCTCTGATCTTTCACCAGAAGCTAAGAAATCTATTACCAGTCGTCACCTTGATTGGCCTGTGGAAATATTATTTGACACTGAATTAGTGGTTCATAATAATCAACCCATTTTTTATGTTTTTGATTTTATTTATTTCTGGGGTTTGGAAGGAAAGAAAATGCGATTTGAGGTACGCCTTAAAATACTTAGGGAGTACTTTTCTCAAATGTCTAATCAACCCCAGTGTATTCTTCTTAAAGATTATGTTCCTATTAACAAATTAAGAACGCTTATTCCAAATTGGAAAGAAGCGAATCTTCCCATAGATGGTTTGGTATTTCAGCATAATGATTTCTACAGAATTGGTCGAGATAAGTTTCTTGTAAAATGGAAACCTGTAGAACTATGCACAGTAGATTTTCGCTTGGCAAATGGTGTGCTTGAAGATGACAAGTGGAAGTTTGATCTCATGGTTACAGATGACACCCCAGAGAACAGCGCTGGTTTTGGAGAAACTCCATACGCTAATGCTGTTGCTGTTATACCATCTACGATAGTAAAAGAAAATTCTCTATGCAATGGAATGATTGTAGAGTTATTTTTAATGGATGTGAAAAAGATGACAGAGGTGGAATCACAATCTCTAGTTTCAACGGAATGGTCTTTTAAAGGGGTACGAAATGACAAAACATCACCGAATAAACACAGTATTGTGACGAAAATTGTGGAACTAAAACATCTGACGTTGGAAGAACTCTTGGAGTTATGTGATAAGGTTCCTTTTTATGGAACAAACTGAAAAAAAAAAAAAAATGAGGTTTCGGGGTAATCATTGGATGTAAAAAGGGAAAGAAAGGTAAAGAAAGAAAGAATTTTTACAGGATGGTTTTACCCGAGATTTTGTATTTAAACTACTAAGAGAGTGGTATTGTGCCTATACTATTCACATTACTCATTGACTTTTGTGGACAACAGCAAGAAACGATTTTGTAAACGAAAGAAAGAAATTAAGAGGTGTGAATCCAGAAGGGGATGAAGATGGTTCATAATGACATGTTTCTGTGTGTTTCCCTTTTTTGTGACTGTTCTTTTTTGCTTATTCTTTTCCCTTTTCTTTCTTTCTTTTTTTTTTCTTACTTTATTTATTTATTTGCAGACGAGCTCGACGATAATTTTTAAGATTTATAAACCGCTTGCAAAAGAAAAAGTACTCGTACGAGGAGGAGGTGGTGGTGCACAACAACGACAACAACTAAGTTTCACCTCAACGAAAAAGAAAATTAGTATAATATAATATTTACACATACATCCTTTTGCACGCACCAACCCTCAAGCGTACATTCATACATTACAGGAAATTAGAGAAAGAAATAAAAAAAAGAAAAAAAAAGGAGAGAGAGAGAGAGGGAGAACAAAAAAGAAAAAAAAAAATAAGAACGTCATAAAGTGTACACGAAGGCGAAATTGCCAAAACAAAAACTAGGAAGACAAAAATAAAAAGAAAGTGAGTACACATCTTTCCTTTTATAATTCATGACACTCAATCCCAATGCCGTGCCGTGGTCAGGAGCAGAGGCCAACGCCGATCCAACAGGAGAGCCTGTCCACCAGCGAATGGCTGGACCGCATGATCCCCGTTATCACGGGTACTCCTCTTATTATCAGAACCAACCCCCACACTCCGTGCCTATGATGGTACCCCCGCAGTTCCCACGCCATATGATGGGAGGTCAAGGATTTCACAATGCCGCCCATCACGGTGGTCCAGCAATGCCTTTACATAATCCACCAGTGCAACCCTACAACGCTGGAAGGTCAAGAGCGCAGCAATATAATGCAGCTCCAATGAGTCATATGCAACCCAGTGCGACACCTTCATACCGAAAAGCAAAACCGGTTGTTATTGTAGTCTTTGGATATCGTCGTGTGGGAAAAACATCCGTGGCGCAACATATAGCAGAGACATACAAATGCAAATATATTTCTCTAAAGCCAAAGGATAAAGAAAGTGATCCTTCTCCTGCAGAGTTTGTTGCTCCCTTGGTTGATCTACTCTCTCGTAAAAACACTTTTGAGGGTATTGTGATTGATGACATTGTTTTGAGAAACAAATTTGAACCTTATTATGTACAATCTGTTCTTCAGAAAAGTGGATTGAAAATTGATGTGGCAGTTGTTCTTGATAATGATTTGGAAAATACAAAAGAAAGAGGGGTGGATTACACTGATGCGTCTGCAAAACAGTTGCATCCTGAAAGCTATGAATTTTGTGCGAATTACCTTCAGGGAGAACCTATTCTTGTTGTTGAATGTCGTGATAAAACTTTGGAAGAAGTTGTCGCTGACGCTTCAAGACAAGTGGGTTCTGTTATTACAATGAAGGATACAACTATAACGCTAAAAGATGTGGAACTTATGCCAAAGTGTCCACTTGAGCGCAATCCAAATTTTGTTACTGAAATATTGGAAGCTCAAAATCAATTGTTAAATCTTAATAAAGCCGCTTTGTTTCCCTATTCTGAACCAAATTATCTATTAGATTATGCTTTTTTCGTACGTCATGCTTATGCTTTTCGAAGCTATATGATAACTCCATGGATGCAGGGCGATAAAGTAATTTTAATTGGATATCAAAATGCTGTTTATATTCATTTACCTTCATACAGAATAATATTCCGATTTACTGAAGCTCCATCAACGTTATTACGCTTGGCGAAAGAAAAAGCAGGTGATCATGGAGTTGGATTCATTTTTGAGGCTACTTTTGCCGAAAATAAATTGTACATATCGGATCTATTCATGTTGGGAGATCTTAAGGGTTCAGAAATGCTTGTTAATGAGCGTGTTGACGCAATGAAGGAAAATTTAAGTGATTTGGATGATGAAACGGTGAAATTACTTCCTTGGTATCCTGTTCAATCTATGGAAACGTGTCAATCTGAAAATCCAGAAGCTAATGGTGTGCTTTTTGTTAATCCAGAGGGAGTAATGTTTGGTGAATATGACAGTCGAAACTTTTTGTACTTTTTACACAGAAAAAGGACTGTTGACCTTCGTATTTGGAACGGAAATTTCAGCAACGGTTCTTGGACATTTGACGCTTATTTTGAAGAATCTGGTAAAGAAAAACTTATTGAGGGTGTCCCTGTTCATATTTCTGATGCTGATGTTTCAAGTTATTGTATTAATGATGGAAATATTCTCGCATGTGCGCTTGAGGACCATCATACCGGACCGAATAAAGCGAAGAAAGGTACCAAACACTATGTATTTCAGAGCCGCTGCAATTGGATGCTAAGACCCACCAGTGTTTTTAGGCAAGAGTTCTTTGTAAAAGATCCAAAATGGCCATTGGAACGTGCGTCTCAGGCCTGCTCTTCAATTAAATATATTTGCCCGACACGCCCAGAGGTAACAGCAACTGCAACCGCAGACGGATAGGAAGTGTTCAAGGTGTGTCGCACTTTTGCGTGAGCAAGGGGATGGGAGGTGAAGAGGTTGTGGCATCCCACTTCGTGAAACGAAAAAAAAAGTGTTTTTTTTTCTCTTTTATATGTTTATATATTCTCTGTTTTTGAAAGGTGGCTCTTAACTCTTGCGTGCGTCTCATAATAATAAAACAAAAAAATATTATGTGTCACTTTTTTTTTTTTTTTTCTCTATCCCTTTTTTTCTTTTTTCTTGGAAACCTTTTAGCTTTAGACTAATTGCACGCTTTACCAACTTGTGTGATTTGACCTTTTTTTTTGCAAATAAAAAAAAAAAAAAAACAGCAGAGTGTCGGAATACAGTTTGAAAAATAAATTAAAAAAAAAAAGGAAGATAAGTCTCAATAAATAATGCGTTTCTTGCTTATTTTGCTTCTTGTTATCTTCTGTTCATTTGGTTGCGCTCAAACCGAGTCTCGCCAGACGCTAAACGAGTCAAATTGCAATAAAGGCGAGAACAAAAAGAACACATCGCACTGCGGCAAAACTTTGGAAGCAACTCGGAGCAACAATAAAATGAGGTCACCTTTGACCGCGGGAGTTGCAGCATGGAACGGACTCTCGATGGAAAGCACTCTGGGGGTAAGAACGCCGACACCAGAGGACAGAGCAATCGCAGAAATACTGCGAGAGCAGCAAGAGGAACAGGAGGCGGCGAAGAAAGAAGGGGGGACGAAAACCGATGCGAGTGAGCACGCCGAATCTAAGAAAAAAGACGGTGCCAGTGGCGGTGGTTCTTCGTTGATGTCCTCTTTCTTGCTCTCCCTGGTTCTTTTCGTTTGTGCTAGCCATGTCTTTTAATAGGAATTTCCCAAGTGGAAGAAAAATTTAATTCTTTTTCTTTTTCATTTCATTTCTTTTTTTTTCTTTTCTTTTGTTTTGTTTAGCACCCTACTTTCCCCCGTCTGTGAAATAAAAAAAAAAAACAAGACGGCAGGGAAACGGATGTACACAACATGCCGCTGCAGGTCAGCATTTCCTTTTTTTTCTTGTTTATTTTCTTTTTCTTGGAAAACTGGAAAAAAAAAAAAAAAAATTATTATTTTGGTTTTCTGCTGTTTGATCTGGCGCGGCGAGGGCCCGAGAAGTTCTTTTATGTGTTTAATCTTTTCTCTCTCTCCTTTTTTTTCCCCCCGTTTTTTTTTACCGAAAAGGTATTACACATTGGTAATGAAATTACTATGGATCTCGTAGGTGGCAGAGCATGGATTCTTCTCGCTTCTCTGAGTCGACTCCGCAGTGGCTAAATCCAATTTCCACCACTGGAGGGCATGGTTGTTACTATTTCTAGGGTCCCTGTCACTCCTTTTTAGCAGCATTCACAAAAAGGTGAAATATGTAAAAGAAACCGCTGCTGATGGCACGCCGGAACGTCCCCCAGGGCCTTCTTGGATAAAGTTTTGTCCCAGCAAGACTCGGCTGGCCCCGGTGCTGCTTGACGTTTGTAGCTTATGAACCCGTAAAGCTCCGCACCAAAGAGTTTACTGGCCTATGGCTTCCCTCGAAAGAATACGAGGTAATGGACCTTGGCACCACCTTTCGATGGCCAAACGTCACCAAGGGGATAGCATTAAGCAGAACGCATGTGTTGAAAAGAAAAAGAAAATTGGTTTTAAAGGGCACCACCTCCTGCAAAAATATATTGCTTGTGTTTAGTTTTCTTGAATAAATTCAAGTACTCAACCGTGGTACCTCGATAAGGTAGCGCTTCATCATCAAGGTCTTTTTATCTTTAAGTGACGTCCTGTGGAAATATTGCATTCTGTAAAAGAAGAAAACGATTGCTATGGTGGCCTCGACTTTTACCCGAAGCAACGCCGTTGTTGCAAACAAAAAACCCTTGTGTCATTTTTAGCGTGAGAAGATTGAGTAGTAAATGTTGACACTCATTTTCACCAACAGAGTCCTCCATGGGGTTCTTTGGGGCGGTGTTTGTGGATGCGGGCAGTGCTCGTCGTTACCTGAGTTGTTGTTGTTGGTGCTGTTGTTGTTGCCGCTGCTTCCCCCGGAGCAAAAAACTTCAAATTGGAAAAATAGTGGCGATACAAAACGCCATGTTATCTTAGTGCGAGGGAAGAAACGCAAGGATAACAAAACAAACCTTCTGCCAGCAAAGAACCCCTTAAATATATAAAGCGTTGTGTGTACTGGCGGTGGTGTTCTTCCATTGTGGTTCACGCGCCTTTTGCACAAAAGAGAGAAATTACCACAGAGCGGCGGAATCAAAGAGTTCAATATTATGATAAACTCAGGAATCAAAACCATAAAGCTAGACTTTTGAAAGATTGTGTGACCAATAAGGGTGACATTATGAATTTTTTCTCTATTTCATTTATGACTTCCATGGGGTTTGCGAAGAGTGGGAATTGTACAGAAACAGATCCTTGGTAATGCCAGCCACCTCAACGTGGTGCCAAGGTCCAGGTGCTTCGTATTATCGGGGGAAGCCAAAAGAGCCATCGATGTTTTTCCTTTGGAAGACCCGTTGACCCTTAGGCTACGGCGTTATGCAGCAGCGGGACCAGCCGCGTCGTGTTGGGGCAGAACTATATCCAAGAAGGTCCTGGGGCACATGTCGACGTGCTATCAGCAGTATCACCCGCACCAGATTACTGCTGAGTGGTGATGTAGAGGAAAATCCCAGCCCTTCACTGCGAGGTTTGCAGTGGAACTCAGCCGGACTTACCCAGCTCATTGGTGCAGATGCTAATGCGCATGCATTGGCATGGAATCGCGCGATCCCTCCTGATACCCGTGATTGTCACAACGTTACCTCGTCCCACAGTATCTACAGCAAAACCTCACCCGTATGCCTGCAATATGTGTAACCGAACGTTTCCGCAAAAAAGTGGATGAACACGGCACCTCAGATACATGCACAATGTCACATGCCCTGTCCCAGAAAGAAAACGCCCGCGAACCGATGAACCGACACCAGAAGGACCAACATTTCCCTGTGACAAATGCGACTTAGTTGCGCGCTCTAAAACAGGCCTCAAAGCCCATATTAGAGCGAAACATCCCGAGGACCCCACCACCGCTACACACGGCACCCAATTAATCCCACAACCT